GGGCCCAAAACTGAACACAATATTCAAGGTGCAGCCTCACCAGTGCCGAGTGCAGGGGCACAATCACCTCCCTACTCCTGCTGGCCACCCTCTTCCTGATACAAGCCAGGATGATGTTGGCCGCCTTGGCCTCCTGGGCACACTGCTGGCTCATGTTCAGCTGGCTGCCAACCAACACCCCAAGGTCCTTTTCCACTGGACAGCTTTGCAGCCACTCTTACCCAGGCCTGTAGCGTTGCCTGGGGTTGTTGTGACCGAAGTGCAGGACCCAGCATTTGGCCTTGTTGAACCTCATACAGTTGGCCTCAGCCCATTCATCCAGTCTGTCCAGATCCCTCTGCAGAGCCTTCCTACCCTTGAGTAGATTGACACTCCCACCCAACTGGGTGTCATCTGCAAACTTACTGAGGGAGCACTCAATGCCCTCATCCAGATCATTGATAAAGATGTTGAACTAGACCAGACCCAATACTGAGCCCTGGGGGATACCACTTGTGACCAGCCACCAGCTGGATTTAACTCCATTCACCACCACTCTGTGTGCTTGGCCTTTCAGCCAGATTTTTATCCAGCGAAGAGTACCGTGAACATCCAGGAGAATGCTGTGTGGAACAGTGTCAAAGGCCTTACTAAAGTCCAGGTAGATGACATCCACAGCCTTTCCCTCATCCACTAGGCATGTTACCTGGTTATAGAAGGAGATCAGCTTGGTCAAGCAGGACCTGCCTTTCAAAAGAAGCAGGGTTGCAGGTTGAGGTGTATCAAAATATAAAGGAAGCAAAGTACATCTTTCATAAAGTGGAGGAGAGGTAATGTGAGGGAGTTGGAAGGAAAATACAGACTGTAAGCTATTACAAGAAATAAAAATTGGAGCAACGCCCAGTAGGCATATAAAAGCCAGAGTGATACAGTAAATGAGGCTGTTGTAACTGATAATTAAAAACTTGCAAGATGTTATGTTCCTAATGGTTTCTTACAGAAAAAAATACCATATTTCGGATGGAAAGTCCAAGAGACAGATGAACTTGTAGCGGTATCTAGGTTTGGACCTTACTGCATTTGCCAGAACTCAGTAACAGTGTGAAAATTAAAACTGGGTGAAATCTTTCATAGGCTGGAGCTTCAATGGAAAGATGTCTGCACACCAGTGCTCCATTAGGCTTCAGCCGTGCTGCATGTATGTCATGGCTGCCCTCAGCTCCTGTGTGGAGGAGTGGGCTGTTTCATGTTTTCCTTGCTGAGATGGATGTATTACTTGCCCAGAAAGAAACAAGCGTGATCCGAGTCTTTGACCTGTGCTTTCATACTTCAAAGCAGCAGCAAGTTTGTACCACTCTTTTTCCTTTTATGCTGTCTGGCACTTGAATACAGCTAAAAATTTTTTGACATTGTGCACATTATTTAAAAACAAACAAACAAAAAAACCCGCAAAAAAGCTCTTAAACTTGAGCAGACAGTACCATTTTCCAGCACTTCTTGCAAATGTGCAGCAAGCGGTTGGCTTTCGTGCTCCTTAGAATAGCATCTGTACACAGTAGCAGCAGACCTTTGGTGTGCTCTTGGAAACAGCTGGGTTTCAGGAGTTTGTTGCTGCGGTGTGGACTGTCATGGAGAAGCGTTCGCTTCTTCCTTGCTGTGTTGCACCCGCTTGTAAACGTGGTTAAAGTCCTGAGTCCCTCCTTTTGATGGTCCTGAAGAGTTCCTTGAAGTCCAAAGTGTTCTGTTCCCTCCCCTCCCCGGTGTTTTAAAAACAGTGTAAAGAGGAATTTCTACAGTCTGGCTATAATGCAGATAAGTTATTCTTTTAAAAAATGTACATATGGTTTCCCTGTAACCATCATAAATTTTCCCTCCAGGGTCCTGTATACTACTTTGTTCCACAGTTCTTCCTCTCATAGCACAACTTTCTGACATAAAATTTTTGTAGAGAGGCAAGGTGCTGAATATAGTTACAGGAGCGCAGAGCAGGGGAAGTTGACCATTATGCTGTCTGCCCTCACATTAGGGATTGTACAGGGCTGGAAAATATCTGCAAATGCATTTTGTAAAAAGTTGTAGGAAAAATGTCCAATTAAAATGTGTTTCTACATGCAGCTCCCATTTTTGTTTCATATTTTTGCACATAAACTTTGGTTCCTGCAAGGAGATGTGGTTTGAACAGCTGAAAGATGAGGACAAGCGGAGTGTGGTAGGTCAGGTGATGGCACCAGAACAAAGCGTTTGCCTGCTCACACATTAGTTAACGATGCTTACGGGCGCATCTATTCTGTGATGCAGTTTTGCTGCTTGAGTCTTTGTGAGCAAAGAAACGAGTAGAGAAAAGGCAGTTCTGTGCTCAGGGAAGGGGACGGGGAATTGTGACTGTGGCTCTGTCATGGCTGCTTGTACAAGACTGCGGAGCTCATGGGTCTCTGGATGAAGCCAGATTGATGTGGAATACGGATGCCAGCCTTGTTCCTTCCAAAAATGAAAACCAGACTGCTGCAACAGTGCAGGAAAATAGGTTTTGAATGTGCTATAAATACCATACATGAAAGCAAGCAGTAATAGGGGTTTTCTGCTTACAGTATATCAGCTGTTAAATATAGCACAGTGCTATAAAAAGCAGAGTATATTCTTGTACGTCTTTTATATGTGGAGAGCTGGACCTAATAAAATCTCTATGCTTAGTGCTTGAAGAAAAACCTTTGATTAGTTTCTTTTGGGTTTGTCCTTAAAAAATCTGTGACTTTGTAGAAACAAGGATTTTGTCTGTTTTCACACTGATGCCGGCAGTGTTTTACTCTTAGATTTGGATTGCTTGCTCATGTCTTGCAAGGTCTCTCACCGACTCTTACCTATTTAGAAAAATATAACATAGAAGAGACAAAAACAGCTTGTGGCTGGGTATTTGACTTATGGGAGAATAGAGGTTTTGATAGTAGGGACCGTAAATCTGCTGATGACTTGTCTTTGTATAGCAGGCTTCTGGTTTGTAGCATGTTTGTGCATGCTGTATCTGTGTTAGATCATGTTTGGTCATGCTGCATCTAGCTTATACAGTAAGATGAGGAAATTAGACTGTACGGCACATAACTTAGAGGAAGATCATGGTTATAGTATAGAATCTTTCCTTGTTTTGACTAGCTATATGCAACGGTAGTTGGATTTTAACAGAATAAATAAATCCACTTAACGAGTGATGACTTAGTGGACTCCATACAACATCCATTGTGAGAGAGAGTGCATGGAGCATTTATTATGTTAGTATCTTGTATCTCTCTTGGAGCTTTTCCTCTCAGTCTAATAGCAAGAAAATGCTGAAATCCAAGATATTTGCAAAGTAGCCTTAAGGTTTTTGTGATTTCTTTTAAAACTTTTTCTCCTGGTTTCTGTTTATTCTTTTTATTTGCTGGCTAAATGGTTCAAGTCTTTTATGCTGCATTTCTGTAACTGTAATTTGTGCAGCCGTGTGGTAACCAAAAGAAAAGTATGAAGGAATTGTGAAAGTTACAGCAGGAAATACTAAAACAAGAAGAAATGATCTCCACCTGTCTCTGTTGTCCTGTGAATAACTGGATCTGTGCTGAGGTCTTTTGAGACTGTTGGTTTGGGCTTTTTTGGTCTTACTTCTTTTCTGTGATTCCAGGATCTGGGGACTAGCAAGTGTAACAAAAGGATGGGCACAAAGAGTAGAATGTTAGAGCTATGTACAAGTAGAGAAAAAACTTAAGGGGAGAGATTTAAATAGCTCAGAAGAATGTAACCTATTGGCCATGCCCATTCCACAGAAATGTTTCCTCTTTATAGTGACTTAATATAGCTTCCAGAATTAAAAATAGGAGGCAGTTAGCCTCGTAAATCTTCTCCATTAGCGGTTGTAAAAACATCCTGCAATATGCAAATATTTGAGAACCAGCTCTGTGCTGCACAACTCCCTTTTGTTCCTAATATCCTGTTGCTTTTTCTGCTAGAAAGTGGCATTAGACAAGACCTACTTTGCAGGTGTGAGGACGCAAATGACCTCAGGATTTGGATGGGTGACTTTACTATTTTTTTTTCTCCCTCTCCTCTCCCTAACACAGGTCTAAGCTCAATGTCATCTGGAAAGGAGACTTTCTACAGATTGTCACTGTATCCTATTTCGAGAAAGGGATGCAATTTCTAAATCTAGTAAACAGAATGCTATGGCAAGTAGACATGTCTGTTATAGTACAGTCATGGTTGACCTGTGAGATCTTGGAGGGAATGTCCTTTTTAAGGTCTTATAATTGTTTTTCTGCCTTCCCTTAGTTATATTTTTATGACTATCTTGCTGGGGACCGAAGCCTGACAATATTTTTGTTTGGGTTTTTTTTAATGTTGTTTTTTACCAAACATTGAGGATACCCTGTTCTTCATGAAGCAGTTTAAAGTATTCATTGTAATTTAAAGAAAAAGCACGCTCAGATTACTGGTGACATACGCTTAAAAAAATAGCAAATCTTTCAAGCATAATCCTCTGTGTATTTAACGCATGTTAACGTAAGCATGTAAGGCTTTAACTATCTTATTCTTTAACTGAAGTTTCTTGTTCTTAGTGCTTCTATCGAAAGCTTCATTAAATTGCTGGGAAATGTAGTTGGATGATGTATTAAAGCACTTTGCATCCTGAGGAATGCTGCTGTGCAGGCATGTGTCAGATACTCCTCTTGGGATGGGGATGAGGGGAAAGAAATCCATCGCTTCAGAATACTGGGGTGGGGGGCGGGGAATGTTTGCTGTTTGCAGAGCAGGGAGTATCTCGAAGGCAAAGAAATGAAACGACATTACTGCGCAGCAGTTGGGAGGTACCCGTTGTCAGGCAGATAGCAAACTTTTTATTTCAGACTTTATGCTTAGACAGATCTTTGTACTGTTTAAATAGCATAATATGTTACTATTAAAGTCATTAAAGTGCTTCAGCAGAGCCTTTTGTCCTTCTCAGTGTTGTATTATACTAGGAAATGTTTGTTTATTAATTTCTTGTTGTTCTTTTCCAGATTGCTGATCTACAACTCCATAAACTGGATGAATTGGACTGTTTGATCCAGGGCCTCCTTTATGTTGATTCTGTTGGTTTCAATGGCCAACCAGAGTGCTATTATTTTGAAAACCCTACAGATCCTGAACAGTGCCAGAAAAAGCCTTACTGCCTTGATAATCCATATCCTATGCTGCTGGTTAACATAGGCTCAGGGGTCAGCATCCTGGCTGTGTATTCTAAGGACAACTACAAGAGAGTCACAGGATCCAGGTAAATTTAATTCTCTGGTTTTTTAATTCTGTTTTCTTTTGTCCTTAATAATTGAACAGATAGAACCAGACAGTGGGACTGGTAGGTGCAGCCCCATATTGTACTTGTCTTCCCTTTTCTTTTAAAAGCCCACAAGTAGCAAGGCTAGAAATATCCTAGGATTCCTTCAGAGAGGCCATTTGCATCAGGGAAACCATTGATGCGTTCAGTGTTAGAGCTGCCTTAGTCTGTTCTTGAAGTTCTTACCTACTTCCTGTCTCTTGCTGTGAATTACCAAAATAAAGCTGTCCCAGAGAACGAATCTCTCCCCTGCTTTGATCCCCCAGAACAGCCAGAGCAGTCAAATAAAAATGTTTGGGCTTAGCAAAAACCTCTTGCTTAGTAGTTACAATGTATCCAGCAGATAGGAAAACTTTGTAGAATTACCTGCTGCTGCTGGATTTTGGTAGACGAATCTCACTAGATCTCTTGTTTCCTTACTCATTGCACTAGTCTTTGGACCATGCTGGTAAATTAAGAAATGTCAGCCTGTAAAGGACTAGAATATGCTTGGTCTGTATTCTTACTTTGTCCTCAGCGTGATTTCAACCTGGGTCAGCTAGTGCTCTCTGAAATGATTTGTAGAGTACAGCTGGGTTAGAATATTCTCTGGTTCAGTAGGAGATTTAGGTGTGACTGCTCTGTGTAGGAATTCAGGAGTTCAATAGTGTGGGTGCAGAATTTGTTCTCAAGGGCAAAAAGCAGCCTGAAGCATGTTAAGGTTTACTCGATAGAAGTGGCAACAGTGCTTACTCACAGGAAACCACTTGTTACAAGTGTGTCCATCCAAACTAGTAAAACTGCCAATAAAGGTATCCCACTTATTCCTCATACATGAAAACTAAATAGATGTACTTTTGTTGTAGTAATCTTGTAAGCTTAAAAACACAAACCAACCACCAAACCAGAAACTTAAAAAAATTCCCTTCCAAAACAACAACCAATGCAGCTTTGTGGATTTGCTTTAGTCCCTTCCAAAGCTGTATTCTGTTCTTTAGTGCATGGTACATATTAATGAAGTCTCACCTGTAGACTGCACATGACTGCATATGTGTCTTCTGTTGCCTTATCTAGGGCATATCTTTGCCACGATGGTAGCCATGAGCCATTTTTCTGTATACAATACAGACAAACACAAGTTGAATGGAAGAGGTGTTGGTTTTCGTGCAATTCTTGTTGTTTTTCAAGCGTAGCCCTTTTGATATGTGTAGATGTGCTTCTGATCCTTTCCACGACGAAAGGAGAAATGTGACTGCAGTGGGCTGCTGACTTGTTATGGATGGTGAAATCAATACAGTCTTGTGGCTGGTGTGCAGAGCTTCCTACTGTTCATATGCTGAATATATTACAGTGCTACTAGGTATGTTCTGAAAAACTTGCCTAATAATTCAAGAGCACCGACCAAACAGTGTTCATGTCTGACCTCCTGTGCTTTTTCATGAAGTGCAAGTGTGGTGTCTCACTGATCCTCTTGTTTACAGTGGCTCAAGTCGGTGTGACTGCAATCAGTGCAAATAAATTAACTTTCTCAAGGGTTAAGAAAGAATGAGGAAGGATGTAGAGGTTAGTAAGTTGAAGTTCATATCTGTTAAGACTGAAGAGTCCAAAGTAGAATTGTAATGAAATGAGTTAACAACCTGTTATGCGCAGTCAAATACTCCCTGCTAAATTTCTGTAGTCAGTAAATGCTGTACTTGAGCCTGTGCAAGATATTAAAGTGACTGTTCCTTGCTCGGAGCTCTCTGGAGGGCTGAGGCATTCAGGGCTGATGCTAGCCTTGCTCTGAACAGGAGCCAACCAGACTGCTTCCCGCCACTGGCTAGGGGGACGACATCTGTCTTGACTGCCTGTCCCTGCGCAGATATTTAGCTTTGATCGATGCTTATTCTTTCATCACTGACTTAAGTGATCTGCTGGCTAATTATTCTTGCACAAGGGGAAAATTGATAGAGTGCTACAAATGGCAAACTGACATCTGTGGTGTTGGATTGGACCTTATTCTCAACTAACCCTGTATTTAGCATCGTTTCTCCTATTTAAAAATCAAGGACTTAAGAGCAGTTCAGTTAAAACCGTGCTGGATGGCATTTGTGTTAAATAGAAACTCAGTTTAGGGTGTCTGTCTTCACTTCTCTGAGGGAAGAGTTGCAAGATACAGTTGGTAGCTATGTAGACCATGTTGCAAACAGGATTTTGAAGAGCTGTGGTAAAGGCTGGTTCAAGTTGCTGGTCTGAAGGAACTGTGCTTTTCTAGTCTTGGAGGAGGAACATTCCTGGGCCTGTGCTGTTTGCTGACTGGCTGTGAGACGTTCGAAGAAGCACTAGAAATGGCCGCGAAGGGAGACAGCACCAATGTAGATAAGCTGGTGAAAGATATTTATGGAGGAGACTATGAGCGGTTTGGCCTTCAAGGGTCTGCTGTAGCCTCAAGGTACGTGTTAATTGAGCTGTTTTGAAGGAGTTCCTTGGGAAACTTCGGGTGCATGCTGAACTGAGTGTGTAGTCCCTGGACTATGCGCTATGTCCATGTGGAAATGTCCCTCGGAGTGTACCGCATGGTTCATCCTTACATCTTTCACCTACTTCTTGCTCTTTTTTAAACAGGTATAAGCAATGCTTGAAGTAGTTTGCTTCCATTTAAATTACAGTTATTTTAGAAGTGTCTTTGCTCATTATTCTGCCTTTCCAATGAGATCCCTCTTCACATTTCAAATCTATCTCAAATCAATGGATATCAAATCCAAGTAAAGCGTATGAAAGGATAAAATTTAAGGGCTTTTAGCACTCCTAAGTAACTCCTATTAAAAGGAATAATCTTCCTCACACAGCTTTGGTCATATGATGAGTAAAGAAAAGAGAGATTCCATCAGTAAAGAGGACTTGGCCAGAGCTACTTTGGTCACCATCACCAACAACATAGGTTCTATTGCTCGCATGTGTGCATTGAACGAGGTAAGATAGCATATTTACTATGAGCTTAAAACCTTTGGAAACAATATAGTAAGATTATTTGAACACAAAAATGCAAATTGCTGGTGTAGTAGGTGTGTAGCTGGCCTTGGTAAATATGCATATATTTAATGTGGTGTCCTGACTCATGTGATTTGTGTTATGTGTATGCTTTGATGGAAAGTGTGATGTACTTTGGGCTTCAAAGGTGGGGAAGAGGGGAGAAAAGTTGACTGTAAAGATCTCCTTGAACCATTGATACCTAGAGCTGTCCAGTTGCTCTCAAGCTGTAATACGTAGATACTAATGCCTTGGTAATCCAAATTAATACTCTCAATTAACTTGTAGTTATTAACAGGTCTTAGTATATCATGACAGATTTTTTTTTTAATACTGTTTTGCTTGGCTCGTTTCCATACCATGATGGGTTCAAATTGTATATTTTGTTAAATGTTTTGATAGATAAAAGATCCATTGTATTGGGTCAGGGAGAAGAAAGTTACAGTTCATTTTCCTGCCTCAAGCTCCTAGCAGATGCTTGTTACATTCTTTAAGCATGATGACTGTGGATGGACTATTCCATTCATACACCTTTCCAGCTTCCAGCATTTAAAACAAAAACCCCAAACAACCAAAACCCCAAGCACCTAAGCACCTGTTTTGAGCTGCAAATTGTATTATGTAGTAACTAATCTGTTTTCTCTGCTCTCAATGAATTTATCCGGACTTTTTAAAATACATAGACGTTTTTAGCTCCACAGCATTCTGTGGTTAGAAGAAAGTGCTGCTTTTTTATTCTTTTAATCAACAACATGCCCACACAGCTCTAAAAAAAGCCAACAAAACAAAAGCAGGAAACTCACCAAACTGCCATCTGGTTACTTTATTGGGTTATATCTAGCTTTTACCTTTATGAGAAATAACAAATAATTCATCACTAGTGGTTTTGGTGGGTTTTGTTCTTGTTTTTTAGTAAACCTAAAAGTCCTAATACTTAGTCTCCTCTCCTGTGGAAGACACTCTGTGTATCTTTTCCACTGCTTCGTTTTGTCTTTTTAATCTTTTTAGGGTTCTAATTTTGAGATCAAATGATCAGATCTTCATGCAGTATTCAGAGTGTGGTTGCGCAATGAATTTATGTGATGGCATACTGACAAATTTCGTGTTCTGAGTTCCTTTACTAACAGTTCTTAATATATTATTTTTGTGAGCATGGAGCTCGTGTTTTTAAGAAACCATCTACAGTCAGTCACTCTGTGGTCTTTCTTCAGTGGTGGTGGCTTATTTGGAGCCTGTCGTTTTGTCTGAATACTGAAGTCTCTCTCTCTTTTCCCCCTTCCATTTGTGTCATTTCCCTTTTTTAACTTAATCTTCATCTGCCATTTTATTCCTCAGTCACTGGGCGTAAGTCTCTTCAGCATTGCTATGCTGTTCATTTTTTATTCTGACTCTCCTGAATAATTTTGTATGCCAATAAATGTTAGGTTTGTTGCTAATATTCCTCTCTAGAGGACTTCTAAGATACGCCGAACAGCACAAGTCCTAGTGTGTGCCCATATCAAATACCACTGATAACCTCCCTTCATCGTGAAAGGTGGCTACAGACAACTTTTTGTTTTGGCAGTTTGACTCTTCCAGTCAGGATGATTCTCTTTCAGTGTTCTCTTTGCTTTCAGCTTCTTTACAGTGTTGCCTTGTGGCATGGAGTTCAAGCAGCATTGTACAGGGCTATCAAAGCATGGAGAGTTGCAGCAGGGAGCCACGAGCAATGCATTTAGAGGAAATAGGCTACTAATGAAACTAATGCTTCTGCGTCATTGTGATCAAGTTCCGAACATCTTTTTTTTTGTGGGCAGGCTTGCTTAAAAACTGGACATGATGCATAGAATTTTGTGGAGGAATGTGGCTTGATGTGTAAAGTATTCTTCATTTCACAGCCAGTGTCAAAGTAGAACTTCTCCAGCACTTGAACTAAATGATTTTGTAGCTTTAGAAAATGAAAATTTTAGTAGCTTTACATACTATTAAAAAAAATTCAAACATGATGTGTTAATGCAAGTCAGCTAATCTCCAGATAGCATTACTCCCCCCCCCGAAAGCAAGCTATCATTCTGCTAAATAAACTAGAGACCTAAATTGCCTTTGGGAAATACGACTGACTGTCACGAAGCTTGAGGAATGAAATGCCCAAAAAAGAGATTAAAAACCAGCTGAATATGATACATTCTTTTGTGGAGTTTGTGTGTATTAGATTAGGGTTATGTTGAAGCTTACTCTTAGGCTCTTTGACAAAATCAATTTATGCCCTGAAGCATGAGTTATGGTAAGGTGGTGTTTTTTTTTTTTTTTCCCAGTGATTGCAGCTCTAATATTATGTGGAAAATGACTTACATATGTTCGGGGGAAAAAAATGAGGCTGGGGAATAAACGAAATATTCTGTCTGCACAACTTCAAAGCAAAGTTTGCTTGCACAAAGTTGGCAGTGGGGTAGAAAAATTCCATAGTCTGGAACCATTTGGCTACACATCATCTGCAATAGTCTGTCCTAGGCACAGCAGAACTGTGTCAAGGAAACCAGTCTCCCTGGTTTGTACTTGTCTTACTAGCAGAACATGTAAGTTGCATCTGAATGAGGCTTCTTGCAAAAATATGTGCAGGCTTTTTTATTGCATCTTTGATATGGATTCACCTATTCAATTATATTGGCAAATATGTGTATACACTGAATTGAAGCATACTATAGCTTTCTACTGCAAGGAAGTAGAACAATTTAGCAAGACCCCACGGAGTAAAAGAGTGCATGCCTTTTCCAGGATATTGTAATTTGATCAGCTTAAGCATTTCATCACCATCCCTTCATCAGTTTAAGACTTCTTTCAGCTTTGAATATTTCAGCAGTGAACAATTTAAAGTAAATTGGCAAGACTCCCTTAAGAGATTAAAAGTAGCATTTCTTCATTTTCTGACTCCTGAAAAATGCTAAAGCTGTTTTTAGTTCAGTGCAAAAATCTAGGAAACCTTACATCTTTAACATAATTTTTAACCTTGTCAAGTCAAGGAGTGTTTGAAAATAAAATTGATACGAAATTTGCATGTGTATATATGCTCTGCTATTCTAGTAGATATGACTGGTATTTTTAGATTTAAATTTTTCAGTAATTTTTATACTCTGTTAGGTACTGCTTGCTTGAATTTCTCCTAACACTAGCTTCATGTGTATATTCAGCAAAAAAAAATTCATTAAAATGAATTTCAAATATAGGTTCTGATCAATTTGATGGTATTGCATTACAGCAAATTAATTAGTTACATGTTTGTCCCTCCTTTGTCAGAAATGATTTCAGAGACAATACTGCCTTGTCAGAGGATGCGAAGTGCTGTTGGCCATGTTTAATAGCAGCCTTTTCAAATTTGTGAATTTCTTATTTTCAGCCATATAAATTCCTAGGAACCAGTGTGAATGCATGCTGATGTGACTGCAGAGTCTGAGGGTATAGATGACTATAAACCTGAATTACTGAAATAAAGTTGGTGTGTGGTTTGAGGACAGTCGGACATGTAACTCGGTCCTCAGAGAATGGATTAAGTAAATTACTGCATCTGGGTATCAGCACTCTCCAGTACTGAGTATTCAAGTGAGGGTGTTCTCTGTGGTGTGTCTCACGCACAGCACTGGACACGACAAAACTGCAGTTTGTAGCAAAGTAATAGTAGCAACTTTATAGAGTTGTAGGAATGTAGAGAGGTAACACGTGGTAATTCTAGTCTCTGTGCAGACTTTTGCTGGTAATTTTCAGCATAGGACTTCTGAAGGTACATTTCTAGGCTCCTTCAAGACTCCTGTAAAAGCTCATGCTCCCAGGATCTGGCCTCCTAATGAATCTTCTAGACCAGTTCCAGTGTATGGGCAACATCATATGGTACACCAGTTCAAAATGCAAGTGCATTTTTGTGCAGAACAAGCAAAACTGGGCTTGGTAAGGTAGGGCATTGTTTAAGCACCAGGACTGTTGCTGACGTGCAGTGATGTGCATGTCAGGGGGGGTAGCGTGTGGCTTTCTCACTGACAGCGTACTGCAGATTGGTCAAAAATCTGTATGAAAACTGAATTCAAGTGAGTTTTGAAACAAAGGAATGCAGTGCATATCAAGTATCAAGTTGGCCACATTTCACTTGCTTTTTGAAAATGAAACCACAGTCCAGATAATAGATAATGAAAGATGCTTCTTCTCATCTGTAATGTAATCCTTCTCAGATACCCTTCAGAGGTTCTTCATCTGGATTTAATCATAGTGATCTCTGGAAAATTGCTTCATTTAACAAGCAGGGGGAAAAGATGTCTTCAGTGCAGCCATGTCACATACAATTAAAAAAAGCAAAACCAATAAAACTCTCATAATCCTGTTCATGTTGGGAAGGTCCTGGGCTTTTAAGCAAATATTCATCATCTGTGACATCAGCCTCTCACTTTCCCACCCTTGCGACATCTCTACTTAGTGGTCAGTTAGTGGCAGGTTACTGCAATTATTTTTTTGACTTTTAAGTCTGAAGAATTTATATGTAACCCAAAATTCCCAAATTCCCATTTAACTTTATAGTGGAGGCAGAATTACATGTTGAATGAGGCAAATAATGCAGCTGAACCTAATTTTTGCCGGTCTGCTTTTCAATTTTACAGAACATCGACAAGGTGGTATTTGTTGGCAATTTTCTCCGAATTAATATGATTTCTATGAAGGTGCTAGCATATGCTATGGATTATTGGTCCAAGGGACAGCTGAAAGCTCTGTTTTTGGAACACGAGGTAAGTTCAACACGTTGAACTTGCTTTTATTTGTAAGTACAAAAATACTGTGGTTCTTTACTTGGTGAAGTTAAAAGGGAGAGGTTCAGTGCTATTGCTTTGAAGTGAATGCACAAACTAAGTTCTGCATAAATATAGTTTCATTATAAATTCATTCGAAAATACCCCTTGTTAACTCCCTGGATTGATCATGAATCTTGTGGTAGTTGTTGCTAAATGTTGCACATCTCTTATTTTTGCTTTCTGACCGTAGTACCAGCAACGTTCATTTGTGTGTCTGGCGTACAAACCTCAACTAGAATTAATTTTTGTAAGCATCCCTTTGAGGTGGCTGTCAGATGGATGAGTTCATAATGGAGACTGCCCTGCCTCAATACAGCATCATTATAGTGGTTCTGTAATTTCTTCTTTTTTTGACAATTTTGGAGAACTGTGCAAGATTTCTCCCAGTATAATGCGCTTTCTTGGACCTAAGCAAGATCATATTAACTCATAATTCAGATACAGCAAATACTTGGCACAGCAGGGCTGATCTTATAAGAAAGGTCTTTTAATGGACTTAACAGAACTGAAGACTTTACATGCTCATGCTTACGTCTTATTTTGGAGTGTGATTCGTTTTGTTTTGCTTTTGCCTTGTTTACAGGGTTATTTTGGAGCTGTTGGGGCTCTTCTAGAATTGCTTAAAATGACAGATGAGCAGTGATGAAGCTGTCTGAAGAGATTCCTACTGCAGATGCTGCTGGATAAGAGTGAAAGCCACTACAAGGATGGAAATGAAGCCATTATGGTAGTTCTACCTGCTGGATTTGTAAATAATTTAAAATCCTTCTAGCTGATCTTTAACTTCTGGGTTTTGACCTTATACTTCAGAACTCATACTGGGAATAACAAGAAATTTTTTTTCCTGTACACTGTATTTTTTAGGGGGAAAATGTGCAAAGTGGCCAAACCTACAGATTTTATGGATTAATTTTAGAAAGTGGATACTGTTTAATGTAGGGCCTGTGATAGGAGACATCTGCTTTTCTTCTGGGGTTTACTGATTAGTGTGGTAATTTTGACTTCATTTAGTAATCACTCTAGGAGATTTTTTTATCTTATTTTCATGACGTTTCATGATTTGTTCTTGGTTTCAAATGAAACTACAAAGCTGATGGATTTTACTGTGAAAACTAGTCATTGATTTTTTGCCTTTCCTTTCCTCATTAGATGAGACACCTTTTTATTTAACATTCCCCCGATCCCCCCCAAAAATAAATTTAGAAGCTTTCTGTGACTATACGTGCTTTTCTTGGCAAGATTGTGAAAAAACTTGGCGGGGGCAGGGGCTTTAAGACTATAATTTTTCAGTAGTCATGACTTGCAACAGGAACAGACTGCTAATTGGTTTTGCAGGACTAATGCTCCGCTATATTAAAAATTTTAAACAAGATGTGAACTAAAATTTTAGTTACCGGCTTGACACTAAAATCCTGTTTCTGTTGAAAATGTCTGATCTATGTGAAGAGTTCTGTAGTACAGATGTTACTTACATGGTATGTACTTGGCATTAGATGACAACGAGGAGGAGATTGTTTTCATTTATTTGACGACTTTTCTGTAGTCTGCAATTTTTAACTTGATCTTAATTGAAGACAACTCATAATTGCATTATTGAAAGCCTAGTTTCTAAAATTAGAAAAATACTGACTGGTTTTAAGCTAATGTTAACTTTCCCTCCAGGACACTAATATTCAAGTGTTTATTCCAATACAGTATATTCTACCTTTTTTTTGATTTGTGGACCTCTCTAGATTTGTGGGGGTTTTTTTCGGCTGAATTGAGACCCCTTTGAAATCTATGTATTTAGGTTGCTGCGTAGCATGTATAAACTTGCTTTTCTTAGACACCATGAGGGTTTACAAATCAGAGGCTGAAAACCAGTCCATAAATTATTTTGTCTTGCAAAACTGTATGTGATGTCACATAATGTAAAGGGCTCATCAGAGAGACAGTATAAAATTCAGACACATGTATTATCCAATATATTTTTGGAAGGGGGTTTATTTCACTTTTTTAATAGTCATTAATTTCTGTATCTCCCAAATGCTAAAATAAATTAATATTAACTAAAGTGTTAACTTGTCTGATGGAAATAAAGACCACTACTGTTTTGACAGTTTTAACGTGTCCATGGAATTCATTTCTTCAAATCAGTGACGTGAAATGCATAACATTGTTTTGTGACACACATGACTGATTATTTTCACGGCGGTTCTTTGATTCGTGACGTTTTTTACTCTTCGTTACGTTGCTTTGGTCTTTGAAGCTCTTTGCCTGCTTTAAGTTGACTTTTTCGTAGGTAGTAAACTGCAACATGAGACAATTAGCATGTTGTAGTTGATATTCTTGTAATACTGAGCTTGAGATAAGTGGGCATAGTTCTGTTCTATGCCTCTAATTTTTCATGAACAAAATGAAACTTTTATTGTGCTTATTTATTAAATTTTGCCTGCAGCTCAAGATCGGTTTGTATGTGGGGTGTTTTTTAAGGAAGACTTCAGAATGTTGAGGTAACTGCACTTCTTACGCTAAACAGTAGAGGGAAGCACAACATCGACAATGTGGATACACTTTGTTACATCAGTGGAGCTGGAGGGATTTGTGGGCTTGGTTGGCTTGTTTCAGAGAAAGATTCCAACGCTTTCTCCCTGGTCAGTTTTTTGAAGGGAATTTGATATGGGAATATCTATCACTTAGGTGTTCTTGCATTCTTAGCATTTATAGTTATGTGAAGGAAGAACAGTGTTAAGTAAACAAATTTGAAATAGCACTTCTTTTTAAGATTAAAATTCTGTACTCCTCAGAAAATGAAAAAACAAAAATGTTGAAACCGTAGTAAGTCATTCAGGACAATGTATATGGACTATGCAAGATGCACAAAGTGAGGCTGTGTGGCCGAGGGAGGAAAGCACAATTCTGGTAGCCCTAATGTTAGCTTTAAGATTCCAGGGACGGTCAGATAAGTTGATCACAGCAGTTCTAAGAGCAGCACAAAATAAATCTTTAACTTCAAGATGCTGATTTGAAATTTAAAATGTTTAATAGGTAAGTTGCTGTAGTTAAAAGACTGGAAAAAATAAGTTGAAGTGTATACTACACAAATGAGTATATTTGATTTGGAAAAGTTTTAGCAAACTAAATTAATAGGATGGAGAGTTATGAGAAGTCACTAAGAGGAGAAGTTAGAGAAGCCTGATGTAAGAGGAAAATGATGGTGTAAGTTAAATTCTTCCTTTCCTAAGGGAGAAAAAGCCTACTGCAAAAGTATTTCTCTGTTGACTTGAGGTCTGCAGTTGACTTTTTTCCTGCTTTGCCACCAGCACCATTGTATGAATCTGCTAGTACTCTTAATTTGCTGCTTTACCTTTAGGCTTTGCCTGCCTTCGGCAATTCCAGCTTCTGTTTTCCTCCCATGTACATCCTCTGTAATTAAGCTAATGAACGAATGACAGTGTGATTGATTTCTAGCACTGGTCCAATATTTTTGCCATAGGGGAGGACTTTGGGCCTAACAGCATCACTGTTGTTTTGAATGTTTCCGATTGTGTTTTGTATCCAGCTGCTGTCAACAGTCACCTGATGGGAGGATGCTTTGCCCCACTCCATCATCCAGAGGTGTAGAAAGAGTCTGAAAACAGTCCTACTCGACTACATAGATGAACCTCTACTATTACTGGTACAAACTGGAAATTTGAGCAAGCGGAGCTCTGTTGCACCACTATCGAACTGTTGTATTGCAAACCTAGAAATACCCATATCCTTGGATGTTTTGTTTTGGGAATGGTGAGGACGAAGGAGCAGACTTCCCTAAGGAAGATCAGTGAGTTTGCAGTTCTAGTATGCGTTCAAAGCACTTGTTTTGTATAAATTGATGAGCTCTCTTAATGAGCTAGGCTGTGTTAATCTAGCTTCTCTTTCTGAAACATTGAGGTAATTACTAAGGTAAGTTGGAGCAGAGTGAGTGCGATACCTTGCTCTCAGTTGTGATGGCTTGTGCCCAGGTCTGCTGCTTTTGTACTTGAACATTTGTTCTTGTTGGCATTCTACTCTCCTCATTCTCCCCACCGCGCCGAGAAACCCCCAATTTTTAAAGGTTTTGACAAAAAGTCTAATTATATCCCTAGGAAGAAGTGCCTATGTTTTAAAGTAAAGGTGTTGGACTAAATTATTGTGGAAAAGTTGCTAATGCTGGATGAAGAGTGAGAGATGACTAGAAGTATTTCCTTGATCAGATTTGGTAGAGAAGACTAGCATGGGGTGCCTGGGGGCAATGCAAGAATCTGGCTTCTAGAACAAGTGGGGTGTTTGCAGTGCATTCCAACCTCAGCAAAGCTGTCCTGGTGTTTCACTGTTATCAGCACTTATGTTCCCGTTAGACTGTCACAAGATACTTGCAAGTGATTTTTGGCAGGACACAGCAGAACTTCAGAGATGGGAAAACCATATGGGGTTGAACTGATGACAAAATAAACATACATGATTGTTTCCAGTCGGATGAGTTCTTCTACTGGGATCTGTTTTCAAAGCACAAGGTGTCTTTGAATTTGGGGTTAAATGAAATGCAGGCTATCAAGAAGACCACATTCTGGTTTGTGTCTTGCTACCTCTCGGTAACCAGGAGGTAGAGGACAGCTGATTTCTAGGATGTCCTGGAAAATAATTGCTTGTTTAAGCCTAAAACTGAATCCAATTTCTGATTCTTGAAGTGTTACTGGTGCTGACTGTAACTTGCTGATTGTATGATTATTAGTGTGTTGAGGGGGGGGAGGTAATAGGTAGGGACTGTGCAGTAAGAGTTTGCTCTTCAGATCTCCCCTACTGCCTCCCCCCATAAAATCTCAAGAAAAAAGAAGCAAAATAAAAATTGTGGGTCTAACTGTAAGTTAGGAGAACTTGCCAGGTGCCTTGGGAACTGAGATTCACCTCAAGCAAGAGGAGCTGCTGGCGCTTGGAGACATGGAAGAGAAATGAGTAAGCAAAGCTGAGGCTTACGAGAGGGGAAGCTGCTGAGCCCAGGAAAGAGATGTGGCAGCAGCGTCTCCAGAGGTTCCTGGGGGGGACACGGCCGAGGTGGGCAGGGCGCTGCAGGGTGAGCAATGAACTAGCCCTTTATTGGTGCAGCCAGTGGGAGATGGGTGGCCAAGGGGGGTGCGTTGGGTGGTTTGGCAGAATGGCAGGCAGCGTCTTGTCCTAATTCCAGGGTGAAGGAAGGGTGTGGCGGGATAGTCGTGAGCTAAAGCGGTTACTGATTATTACTTGGGTCGAGCACCCCTGTGTAAAGCAGCCAGCGACCTGTGCTGAAGCGTTAGGTCTCTGTCTAGGTGCAGATGTGCTCTCTAGAGCAGGCAATAGCCTGGTCTCAAACATTGCTTGTCTCAGTACGTGAGAGTCACAGTAGGCGATGTACTGGCCCCAAGTCGTTTTTACATCAAAACCAGTTGCATCGTACTGGCAGAAACACAGCTCTTCTCAGCTGGCCTCCAGCAGTTTGCCGGCGTGCGCGGCTGTGCAGCGCCGCTGGCTGCAGCAAGCGGTCGGCAGCCTCCGGCGGGTGGCCCCGAGGGGGGCCCCCCGTCG